GAAACTCTTGTTTTTTCCCAGTTACCATGTTTACATACAACTAAGAAGATCAGGTTAGATACCGAAAACAGCCCACAACTTATATCAGAGTGGGAGCATGGGGAAAAAAGGGGCAGGTTGATTTTAAGCTTTGGGAAAAAAAGTGTAGGTTTTAGTTTGTTTATTTTGATAAGACAGAAAGCCAGGGGAGTCTTATAGAGGGTCTTCCACATGCTATAATCAACATGCCTAGCATTGGGAAACACAAGCTCTTTCAGCAGAAAGATCCCTCATGCCAAAAGCTAACAAGCACCTGTAACTGCCATTGGTGTTTATGGCTGTTGTGGAGGCTGAGGACCTTTCAGAATTAGGCTCTGTTCCTCTATATTTAGTTCTCTAAAGGATGAGATAGGCATAAGCATCTTTTAGTTTTATTTTAAGGACTTACTTTGGATGTCAGAGGAATACTAGCTGTGTCCTTGATCTGTGCGCAGAGGTCAATTTGCCAAGAATTGTCTTACCCAGTGGTCAGCAGCCTATGGCCAAGAGAAGAGGCTTTGGTGGCAGGAGGAGTGGGGAGGCTTCAATAGCACTGTGTTGCATGGTGGTCTGGTGTTTTGTCCATGTTACACTGCAGCTAGGTGGTGGGGAGAAGCAGCAGTGGCCGGGTCCTAATGCTAGCCTGCCTTTGACCAGAGCTGGGTCATTCTGACCTGCTACAGGAACCCATTGCTGACCCACACTCTAACCTGATAACGTAAATAAGGGCCACTCACAGGTTGCAGGATTGAGTCCATGGGAAGTGTGGGAAAACAAACAAAAAAGGTAATAGTACATTCAGGGTGACTATACATGTTCCCTTATCTGTTCCAATTAGAAAGAATCGGAGCTGACTTGAACAGAATACATGTGATGCTGGGGCATTTTTATTAGAATGGCTGTCCGGGAGCCACTCTAATTAAAACACCCCACTGCAATAGAGCACAGGTATGGGCACCCTTAATTTTCTGGATATAAAGTTACTCTTTTTAAGAATAGCTCCCCTCTTTCCCATTGAGAATTTTTAAAGTATTAGTTATAAACATAGTATTTTGTGCACAAAAGTGAGATCTATTATGCATGACTGCATCCACAGACAGCTAATGGAATCTAGCAGACATGATCCTTTGCCAAAAGGTTTACAAAAGTACAGATATAGCATCTACAAATTGCTGTAATGCCTTCAGGAGGAGCTGGAAAGCTCTTGAAATCTGTGCGGAAGGAAGAACTTAAAATATAGCTGCAACAGTCTGTGGGACCCAAGACTGTGTATGTAAAGGCAAGAAGGCAGTTTGTGGCATCAGGGTCATGCGCTATTGCAAAATCATGCAGAAGGTTCACAGGAGAAACCTTAGACAAAAAGTAAGAGCTATTCATATTTTCTAATGGACAGGCTTGGTGAGTACCTTCTTTCAGCAAAATGACCCACAGGAGATTGTCAAAAATATTATCCAAAAATGGTGACTCTGTACCTCAAGGGCATTGTAACCAGTGGGATTGAGCATATACGTATGCGTCCTGTTAAACTCATGTTAAATGTAGCTAGATCATTAACAACCAGAATTTGGCCCTTAATTTTTAAGGGTAAGACTGCAAACCTGGCTCAACTGAAGTCAATTTAGCTGATCTACAGCTATAGTATGTTATGCAGCATTGCCTTAGTGATAAACTGTGCAAGAGAGCTCTCTTAGTAGAAGACTATTTTTTGCTTTAATTCTGAAATTCTGATTTCAACCTAAACTGTGAGTAGCCTCACTTCCCTTGCACATATACTAAAATCAGGAGTACTTCCACTCACTTCAGTGGAGTTAAACTCATACAAAACTGGTGTAATATCTTTTTCTAAGATGCTTCTTGTGGAGATGAAAACACATTTTTTAGAAACTTATCTCTTGGTAGAATAAAATAAGCAAAAAGGACTTTGGAATATTTTGCTTATAGAATATCTTTTATACTAGGGGGGAGGGACAATGATGGGGAAGTTACCTAGCGGTGACTCAGTTTAGAACATCTGATAGGTCAAGAATTGTTGTTGCTGAATACAAGGCGCGCCTGCTTTAATCAAACAGTCTATTTACAGAGATAAAAGTAAAAAAAAATAGAACAAGGTTACTTCCTCATCACTGCAGCACGTAGCCAAATGAAACTCTAAGTCATGCGGCTAATTAAGAGAAGTTAGTGCTGTCAACCAGTATAGCAGGAAATGAGGTCTCCAACTTTGTTTATTACTGCCTCTGTCTGGTTCAGAATCTTCCCTCAAAAATACACTTAAAGGACAAGAAAATAAAAAACTGTTTAAATGCCTTCTGCTTCCACTGATTTGAATGGGGTGGGATCATGCACTATAAGAAGTTTCAAACAGAGCCCTTATCAACATTACTACTTTTAATTGCATTTATGACCAGTTAATGATCTGGTTAGTGGAACACAATGCTTCCACAGCAGAGATCAGGCTTGTTGAGCAGTATGGCAGAATCACATTTGTTTTAGCATGATTGACTCCCAGTCCTCTAAGCAGCTGGACTCCTAGGCCGTGCCCAGATGAGTGCGGGCGTCCAGTATGTGGCACCGCAGACATGTCTGCAGCGCCACATGCTGCACATTCAGCTGATCTCTGCAGTGGGTTTTTTTGACCCCTAGATACCCAGGGGTCAAAAAATACCTGCACAAAAAAAAAAAAACACAGACGAGGGCAGAATACACCATGTAAAATCAAAGCCTGGCCAGCTGAAGCTCTGGCTGCTGGCTGGGTTCCAAGTGGCACAATCACTGCTGCTGAAGCCCCAAGAGGCCCCCAGGACCTCAGGTAAGGCTGCTGGGGCCAGTCCAGTGCTGGCCCCAGCCTCTCCTACTCCATCGGGGGTAACCTGCCAAGTGCCAGAGGGTGCATGGCACAGGCTTTTCCACAGGACAACTAGCAGCAACACAAGGTATCCCGCTGCTAATTGTCCCTGGGGAGCTGAACATCCACGCGTGTGCGGATGTGCCCTGAAAGTGCATGCATGCCTCCTGTGCTTGCTGTTACTTTCCATGTTCATAAACTGTAGTTGAAAACACTTATTTTAAAGCCATACCAAAATTATTACAGAGAAATCAACATATGGAGGTCTGAACAAAGCCCTTTATAATAGTTAAAAATGACTCCCTAATTGTCCAGCTTTATTAAGAGCAGTGCTACATATTTCTTTACCAACTCTGAAATGCCCCACAGAATGGTTTTCTTTTACTAGAGAAACTACTGGATTTAGACTCTACACACAATAAAAAGAAGTAAGAACTTTTCACAGCTACATTGGTTAAGTGACTTTCACCAGAGGCCAATAAACCCAGATCTTTTTACTATGCCTTATTAACACATACAGGCCTAGTTGCATTAATATTGTATCAGTAACTTAGACTTCAAAAATCTTACCTCTACAACAGTGTCTCACTGTGGCTTTTCCTTTCACAGCTCTGAAACTGATGCTCATTTATTAAATGCCTCCAGACATCCAGCTCTCCAGGCTTGTGAGGCACCCAGAAGTCATTAAGATATGAAGCCCTTTTAGCCTTTGTTTGGCAAGTATGCTGACATCTTCTGTCAGGTAGCAATGTAAATAAATAGGTGTTACCACCTCAATTTAACAGATCAATTTCTCAAGGATAGATCCTACCCTTTATTAGGTAATTAAAGTCTTACTAGTAAGTGCCACTTTGCAATTGGAACTGTTAATATTGTCTTAATAAAACAAGTGGTAGTGTATCTTTGTGCTAGGATTCTGAACTCTTGCTTCTAATTTCTGGCACTGTCACTGGTTTCCTGTTTAAGTTCAGGTAAGTCACATCTGTACTCCTGATCCCTATAATCAAATTAGATGAATATCTTAATTAATATTTGTAAAGCATTTTGCAACATTCTGGGAAAAGGTGCTGCTGAAATCAAAGGAAGGTCTGTGGCACAGGGACTGTCATTTTCTCTAAATCTATAGCTTACCCAACACAATGTAGTTCCAACCTGTTTGGATGTTTGGTGCTACTTCAAAATAAGTATTAAAAATATTATTCAGGATAAAAAGGGTATAAAGCTAGAATTGCTACTGTTGTGAATAAAATCAGAAATCTGTTTGTTTGTGTGAGGTGGCTGGATTTTGTTAAGTGTTTGGAGCTCAGCATGCTTTCCTTGTCTGAACTATACAGCTTTCTTCCTTCGCTTGTGTTTTATGTTGTTGCTTGTCTTTGTAGGAGATATAACATTCTTGGGAATGGGTCCAAGACTGTGGAATGAGCTCCCTCACAAACTGAGGATCATCACAAACCTCAGAAACTTCTGCATGAAGAGCAAGGCATTTCTTTGACCCTGCCTCCTTTAATATAAATACATAGCAGCACATATCTTTAAAACTATTCCCAAAACAAAACACTCCCCTGCTCATGCTATTGCATCTGGGAACATGGTGAGACAACCAACATCATACGATAAATGTCAGTTACATTGCTTAATATATTACTGGGAAGCACTGCTATCATGGGGTGATAAGCACAGTAAAAAAAAAAATCTATACAGAATTGCCTTATGCTTGTTTCTTATAGCACAGGAACTTTATGTCAAGGTACAAAGTGCTGAATATACACACTATTCCTTGAAATTTAGCAAAGAAGAGTTTATTTTAAGTATGATTGATTTCTCTTGTCCCTATACACAACATTTTCAGAATTTAAGGAAACCCAGAGTTACTTACATCAGTGCTCTTTTTGAATGCTGCCGAGTCATCCTTACTCACAAGAGAAACAAACAAAAACCAACCATTTTACTGTAGCCATACAAAAATGGTGCATGTGACAGTATTTTAACTCTTCTAAAAGTCAGACAAGTTTTATGAGAAAAACTGAAGCTTTTGAAACCAGATCACTTCAAAGTCTAGGCATATGTCTTCTTTTTTTACTTTCAGTTTTATTTGCGCTACAGTTCAGTAATTTATAGCTCTTCACCATTGCTGACAATGTGTCTTCAAATGAAGAGACATTATTCTCACATATTGCAAGACATTTAGGAATGGAGGTCATCTAATGGTTCCCTGTTTTGCTTTCTTTATTGCAACAAGTGTATGACTCCAGAAGTGCTATGCACTTCAGATATACAGCGTATGGCAGTGAAAAATCATATAGTATAAAGATGCTACTGGGAGAGAAGTTATATTCAGAATAGGAAGAGGGGTGATTCCAAGGAGACTGTTCCACAACTGGAGGCAGATGAACTCTGCTCATGCATTGGGAAGAGAAGATATCTCCACATCAGCTCTGGGGTTTCTGTTGCATCCCTGCACTAACATATCATTAGGAAAAATGTAAATTATTAAATAGGAAATTCCTTCTCTCTCTTTTTATTTTTCCCCCATGGTCAGATTGGAACAGACTGTGGGGGGGTTTTGCTTTCCTTGTGGGGCGGGGGAGAATAGTGTGCACATGCACATATGTGCATGCCTGTATGGCCATCTTCCTTGGATCTTTTAAGCGTATTGTGATAACCCTTGAAGCAGCAGCACATTGGCCACTGTTGTCCCTCTACCTTACCTGTGTCAGGTTGGGGTGTTATATCTTGTGGTTGTGTCAAGGTTGATTGTGTAGTTTTACTAATAGGTTAGACAATGGATTTGTATAGGATGGCTTGGATAGAGATGTTCCTGCCTCTGGTGGGGAGTTGACTAGATGACCTCTGAAGGTGCTGTCCAGCCCTACTTTTCTATGATTCTTATAAGTAGATCTTATTTTTAAATTTTTTTTTTCTGATCTTTCTACATGCTGTTAAGGCTGCTTACTTTTTAATCATTTAATAATTTGGGTTGGGAATTGCATTCTAAATTTAAAATGGCATGTACAATAAAAAGAATCAATTTAATATGCTATTTTGTCTAACTTCATTTTAATTTAACAACGTTCTCACAAGAATGAACAGCAAACACTTACAAGTGTAAAAGATTCTTAAAACACTCTTATTTTAGTCATATTAAAGTCTTAGGTCCAGATCCTGCAAAGTACTATCTTCTATAGGACTACTCCTAGTTTGCAAAATTAAGCACACAAAGCTGTAAGTCTTTGCAGTATTGAGGTCTGAGCATTTATTCTACATCCAAACCGTTAAACATATCTCAGCTGGGAGCTAACTAAATTTTTTCATTATGCCTCTGTTTTTTATGACCATCTTATGTTGCCATTGCGCACACAGTCCCTAACTGCAAAGGCTTCCTGGCATTGTCTATATCCATCACTAAAATATGACATAAAGAGAAGTAGCTGACCAGAAATCTTACTCTGGAGCTTCAGAAAAGAGTATTGAGACATTCACACTTATGACTGAAGTTACAGGAAACTCTGGGGAAAAAAAGTCTAAATATAAAAGCTTATTTTATTATTAGGAAAAAAAAAATGATAAAATTACAAAATTAAAATATATTGTAAGGAACATAAAAATCAACAATCTACAAAAAGAACTCATGCATGAATGAAGCATGCTTCATACTGTTAATACTTTGAATACTGAACTTGTACATCAAGTTAAATATTGGGAATGAATATTTGAAAGAAATCTTTATTTTTGGACTGGGTGGATATTGAAGAAAAACTTCTAAGGCAAATTGAAAATCCTCATCCAGAGTCCAAAAATGTAGGGAGACCCTAAAAATGTAGCAGAAGCATTTCCGCACACTGATTTCAGTAGTCGAGTTTGTGCAGAAATGATTCCACTAGATTCATAGAGTACCTTTGAGGCAATGGCAACTCTTTACTTCATCATCTTTTTGACCTCTTCCAGCTCTTCTATGGGTTTCCATTCCTGGTAGAATGTTAAGAGCTATAAGAAATTAAGAGAAAAAAAAAGGTTAGAGCAAGTTACTAACCCCTTCCCCCCCCAAACCCCCAACAATAAAGAAGCAATTATTTTCTCTACAGATGTGGTCTATTTTTACATTATGCAGCAGTGTACACAACCTCTGTGTATGAAGAAAGCCTGTTTAGTAAATAACTTTTAAAAGTAGTAAGCAGGAGTATTGTCTGACCACATAAGTTACCTTTAGTAATTATCACAGGAAAAGAAAAAAGGAATTCTGTGGACGCTAACTAGTTCTAAAACTCAATTTTATTAATGTATTGATCCAGGGATCACTACAAATATTTTAAGTACTACGTTTTTCAGTAAAACAGACTTAAGAACAGTATTATTTATAAGCAGATAGGCATGGCCCAGCATTACTTGTATACTCCGAACTTCAACTGAAATCAGTGGACTACAATAAACAGGAGTTGCATTTGTTAAGCACACTCCAGAATTAGATCAGGAATGAAGGATCAGACCTACAAAAGAATAGCTGGAGGTGTAGCAGATAAAGGCATGGACTAGACGATATTTCCTTTGTATCTTTCATTTTTCCATTAATATTTTGCCAACTATGATACTTTAAATATATATATTTTACACATTGAGTTTTTGTTGGCAGTTCACCAATATGTATTTGATATCAATTGCTTTGTGGACAATTAAGTTAATTTGATTACCTTTCTAGGCTTGGTAGGATCCACTTTTTCCCAAGGTTCTGGATTACCAGACTTGTTAATACTAAAAAATACAAAATTCATAATAGAATATTAAATGCTAGGATTTGATGTTGTACACTCTTAGATGAGTAGTCTTACCAGCTATTTGCTTGAATAAAGGGTTGTACATACAAAGGGTTCTTAGATTTAAAACTTTGGGTAGGGGGCTGTGCCCTTAACATGTGGCTTCTATACTAAATGTGTTAACATTGCTTAATATTTAATCATATTATGTTATCATAAGGGGAGTCAGACTGAAAATCAAAGCCAGGGGATGGTTAATGGCAACAGGAATTGTTAGATCCAAGGCTAACGGTGCCCACATCCTTGAAGTCAATTTTAAAACTCCCATGGACTTCAAGGATAAGACCCTAACCAGGTAGCTAAAGAATTTAAAAATAATGGGTATCAAATACTTCTCTTTAGATACGAGCTATGGAAACACTGCTATTTAACAACCTGGGTATCAAAAACTGCTCTCTAGATAGGAGCGAGGGAAGCACTGCTATTTAACAGTCTGATTTAATATCTACAAATAGGACTTTATTAATAAGGACCTTGAAGGAAGAGTGAGGGGGGTGAAGAAAGTAAAGGGAATCCCTGAATACTGATGTTTGGAAATACACTCTCGGGATTTGTGCAGCTGTGCCTCAGACGGAAACAAAGCAAAACAACAAAAACGCTGTGTTGTGAACAATTATTCCCTTGAAATAAAATATCTCTTTGCAACCTGTCTGGGCTGGCTATCTACATTTAACCCCAAGGGCACTGAAGATCAACTACATTTCAGCTGGTGACAAAACCAGCCGATTTTCTGAGCAGCGCATTGGATCCAAGCGGGGGAATAAGTGAGGGGCGCCCATGTCAGCAAATCAACTTCCGAATAAAGAAATGTCCCAGCTGGTTTCGCACCCCCCTAGCTCTGCAGGCGCCACGACCCCCGAGCGTCTTTGTGCCAAGAGAAAGCGGGCGAGGAGCGCGCGGCGCGGCGGGAGGGGGTTTCCTTACATGACGTCCGTCTTGCTGACCAAGGCATAGACACAAGCAGAGACAGCCCCCACCGCGGCGAAGGTCACAAACCCGACCAGGGGGATGAGCTGGAAGACAAGAAGCGGATCAGGAACAAGCTGTGCTGGGAGCGGCGCGAGGGAGGGACAAGGCGCGAAGGGAGGCAGGGGCCGCGCTGGCTCCCACCTGCCCAGCGCTGCCTGGACGCGGCTTGGCGTCCAACCTACTTCTTTCTTTTTCCGCAGCAGCTGGAAGAAGCCTGTGCTCACCATCCCGCCGGCGGCCGCGGCGCAGCTCTACCCCAACCGTCAGGGAACTGCCCCGGCTGCCCGCTTATATCTAGCAGCGCCGCCCCCGCGGCTGGCAGCGGCCCAGCTCGCTTATACCGGGCGCCCACTGTCCCCGCCGCAGCGCCCCGCCCGGCCCGGCCCAGCCCGGCAGCACCCCCTGGCGGCCGTAGAGCGTGCCGGCGCGGGGGACAATTTGCCTCCAAGGGCCCCCTGCCTCAGCTCCCGCGTGCAGCGCTGGCCCCTGCTGCGACGCTGCTCACCAGGATTATCGGTGTTTTGTTTCCATAAAGCAGAGGAGCTTGGTGTATTGGAGTGTGAGGTGACACCGAATCGTTCTCAACGAGAGATTGTGACATTATGGGACCCGTCCCTGACCACCAAGTACATATGATACATAGTTGTGTGTGAAACAGATGCTAATTTGAGGCTTATGTGATTGCTGTCCAAGGGGGGAGGGGTCTAAACCAATCACGGTAAGGTCACTTCTTTATCTCTGGGCAGCAATAGAGACATGATGGATCAGGCAGGATTATGATGGGCCTCACCTCGGGCCTAGGCGGAGTAGCTCTGGTTACCGAGACTGTTGTGAGGAGAGAAGGAGCAGGGAAGGCCCCAGTGGCTGGGGGGGGGGCACCCAGTAAGATGGGAGCTCCCATAGACGCCTCCAGCACTGTGGGCGGCAGGTGGGGGTGGGGCATTGCAAGCATGACCACCCGCAGATGCCACCAGCAGTGTCAGCGGCAGCCAGCGGTGATTGCTGATGTTGGCGGTGGGGGTGGCAAGCAGTGACTGCCAGCAGTGCCTTTTTATACAGGGTGTGCTGCCACACTCAGGGGGTGCACGTGCACCCCCTACGCATCACCGGTGCAGGGAAGGTTTAAGGAGGGATCTGTGGCAGAGCTGTCCTGTTGTCACAGAAAGACACCCTCCCCATGCCCCTGGGGAAAGAGTTCAAGTTGTGAGTGAATGTAAGCTCTGTGGGTTCTTAAGGGCCAAAGCCAGAAATGAATTTGCAAGAATATAATAAGTAAAATGATATATATTGTTTTCTTTATATTTACCAAGGAAAATAACAACATTGGACATAACACATATTATGAGCCTGAAGTTGGTTGCTTATTCCCAGTTCCTTATTCCTTATTCCCAGTTCCTTTTTCAAAGCTAATGCACATCCAATAAAAGCTTGTTATTAATGAATTACACATCCTAAAGAGAGAGAATTTCATTAGCTGTGCAGATGTACAAAATTAAGCCCTGTACCATTCCAGATTCTGCCATGGAGGTGTGAACAATAACTGGAGAAAAATCTACACTGAATTTTCATGCAGAAGCTGTACACTATTTTCATGCAGTCCTGCAAGATGGAAAATTCTTCAGGAAACTGCAGGACTCTTCTTTTCACTCCGTGTTAACAACTAGATGGAGCTGAAGAATCAATGCTGTTCGCCCCCTTGTGAAAAATCCTAAAGGGATGCTGGATTCTTTCTTTAAAATTGAGGCAGAATTAGACTTGACAGCAGAAACCCAGGCTGATGTTTCAGGTCTCATTGAGTGGATACAATCCTTTGAGTTCATCCTTCTGACTACAGTGTTGTACAAGGTATTGTAATCCATCAGTATCCAAAGCAAGGTTATCCAAGGATCCAAGCTCACCATGGAAGAAGTGGTGCAACATGTCAAGAGCCTCCTGGAAGAAATGTAATGGCTGAATGATTCCTGGCCAAGTCTTCTCATGGAAGCTAAGGTCATTGCTAAGGGGCTATCACCACCAAATACAAGCGAACACACAGAAGAATCCGAAGGACGAAGCATTTCCACAATGAACTAGCCAATACAGAAGACACAATCTCTTTCCCTAAAAATAAATTCAGGGTTGAAGTGTTCATCACAGCTATGGATATGCTCCTCTCAGATCTCTGAAGCTTAGCTGAGACAATGGGGAAACTCTTAAGCTTGTTCTCACCCATACTTGACCTACCATCTGTTGCAGAGGATGAAGAAATTGCGAAATTCGTAGAGTCCCTGTTCATCACATACCCATGAGATGTGAACAAGGATGAGTTGCAAGAAGAATGCTGCCTGTTTTACAAAATCGGGAAAGACTCAATTTTGTGCACTAGGGCTATGTGAAGCTTTGGTCCCTGATTTGATTCGGCATAAATTCAGCCCGATTTGGTGGTCAAATCTCTGAATCCAAATCGAATCAGAGGACCCTTTAATCTCTCTGAATCCAGTTGGAACCCTCCACTTCTGGGTCTGCCGGGGAGCACGCTGGGGGCCCCCACATGCCCACCTGGCTCGGTAACTGGTGCCTCCTGGGTCTGGGGGGGTATCCAGAGTCCCCCTGCAGCTGATTGCCATGTGGCCCCCCCCCACTCCTTTGGGATGCTTCATGCTCCCCATCATTGCAGTGTTTGCAAGTCACACTGGTACCTGGAGGTATGTAGAAAAAACTTTTAAAGCTGTGTCTATCAGGGAATCGTGGATTGTCCAAACTGGCGAAAAATCTTTAGCTTCGGATTCAGCTGAATCAAATCAGGGACAGTGATCCAAATCAATGAATTAAATTACTGTCCCTGATTCAGGCTAAATCTGAATCAAATAAGGCCCGCTTTGGACACCCCTATTGTGCACTTCTGGAGGAGCCATGGGCACTGCATTTGAGCTTCTCAACCGGATTTATAGCAAAGGTGTAAAATCTGTGTTCTCTCAGATATGCATTTACTTGAGAATGCTCATTGCCTTGCCAGTTGCATCCAGGGAACGCACTTTTAGTAATCTTAAGATTAAGAACTACCTGCAGTCAGGGATTGGGGAGGACAGGCTGAACCATTTGATCATGCTCTCAATGGAGCATGTATTTGCAAAGCAAATAAATTATGATGTAATTGATGACTTGGCATCCATGAAGGCAAGAAAGAAATAATTTACTTAAACTTTTCTCTTTTCATTTTGTTCTTAAGTTCCTAACTTTGTAGCATAAGTTTAATAAATATTTCACTTGCAAACTGTTGATGTCATTTTGCTTAAGTAATCTGTCTCCAAGGTAAATTCTCTCTGCCTAGCCCTTCTTGTCATGGGAACAAGTGGGGAAAGCCCACTTGTTGCCACTTCCCAGGGCAAGGGAAGGAGCAGCCACACGAGAATTCTCACATAATGCATGCGCAAAAATTCTTGCACGTGGTCCCCCAGCTTTGTACACACACAGGTCCTTGTAGGGGGCAGTGGTGGTGCCCCCAACATCACACCTGCCCCAGGGCCCATAAACCCTCTAGGCAGCCCTGCTCAGCTCTGGTGCCCCCTTCCCATTACCCTTCAGGGACTCTTCCTGCCAGTTGTAGGTAGAGGCAAAGGCTGAGTGTTTCTCAGTTGGGCCTGGTACTGTGGGGAAGTAGCAAGAGGGAAGAAGTGGGGTGCAGTCTTACTTGGCTGCTGGTTTTCCCTAGTCACCCCCTGCAGCCAGGAGGGACTACATGGCCAATCTGAGCTCCCTCCCCGCTGGTCCTGGTAGGAGGACCCAGTGCAGCGTGTTACCTGGGCACAGGGGTACGTGCATCTCCACCCCAAAGCAGCAATGCCTGACAAGATCAGGTGTGTGGATCAATCTTTGGTCTGCTTCCCCTGAGGACAGCAAGTAGCACACCAGGGGCCAAAACAGGCCGGGGGGAGGGGGGAAAGGGGGCAGAGACCACTTGGAGATCAGTTTTTTTGCATAGTAACCGTTGCAGATGATATGGGTGAACTGCTCAAGGGCTGAAAGTAAATTAGTTCAGATATCAAACACCCACAGTTTCTCTTTATTGAACTATCTATTTAACCTCCTCACGTATTGATCAATATACCTATTAATTTCACCTTGTTTTGATGAATGGTTTGAATTTAAAAGCTGTCAACAAGAAAGCAGTCTTCGTAGGAGAGGAAGATGTAATGCACCAGGCAAAAGCAAGTCTGTGGCAGCCTACTCTTGTTCCATTTGGAAAATTTACTAAGTTCTAGAGGATTACTCTAAGACGTACTTCTGTATGTTTTCAAGACAAGCCCTGGTCTAAGAAACAGCCTGTGTTATAAAGGATAGTCCTTTAATACTACAAAAAAACTACTTTGTTTATGAAAGGCTTACACATTTCAGACTAGATTATGGATCAAAGGGACCTGGACAGGGAAGAGGTTGTGGTAGCTATTATATAAAAGCTATCCAAACATTAAGCAAATATTCCACTTAAGTTTATTTCCTACAATAAAAGATGTCAAGGGGGAAACTAGAAACACACAGTGTTTGGTAATAAGACATGAGTTAACTTAAGATAATTTATATTTTAACATTTTTCTTATATTACAAGTCTTTCAAAAATAAGTGGTATTATATATAAACAGAATATAAAAATACAATATAAAAAGCAAGGAATACAAAGGACAGGTTTAATGTGAGCATCAGTCCATTGGGACAATTCAGATTTTAAGTCATGAATTACACATACCTTTGTGGAGAAGTTAAACGGCAAAAGAAAATGAAGTTTGTGTTTATGTTCACTTCCTTAATGTAGGGTAAGTGTGGCCTGAAAGGTTAATTTTTCCCCTAGACAATCTATGGACCATGGGGAAGGGGGTAAAATTGTCACGGAATCACAGTACAGGTAGTCATCTGGATTTGTGATGAGAAGCAATTTTTATTCAGACTGTCTTAAATAAGTTTGCTGATTCCAAGTAAAACAAATCTTTGCTAGTGTTCCTATGCCGTCGTTTAAACAGTTTTCCACGTATAGTGTATGTGAAGACCTCAACAATTCCTTAAACAAAGTCAGGAAAACTACACTTAAATTTGTAAACTAAAAAAATAAGCAGTACAGACCTTTTAAACCCTTTCTGCATGCATCACAATGGGAAACTGTGAACCTAAGAAAGTTTTCTTCCTTTGAATTTCATTTTTTAAAAGAATCCATACAAAATCATTCATTTATCATGCATTTCATATTCCAGAAATTCTTGTTATATCCAGTGTTTTTTATTTAAGCTGGTAACTCCTGTTTATAAAATTTTCCATAAAAATCTAAATCTTTGAGGGTTAATGATGGTTTTACAATCTTCAGTGATTTTATGAAGTGCTCGTGTTTCACTTCAGTTGCTTCAAGTCCATTCTCTTGTAATGCCAACAAGCCAGCCTTAGAGAGAAAAACAACATGATTTAGATAATATAGAATGTTTTCACCTGGCAGGTACTCCAAAGTTTGGAAGTAAAAATGGGAACTAAGCCAAGCATTTTACCATAATTTAGGGTCATAATCCAAAAGACAGTCATTTAACAAAATGCATCAGAACATACTACTGCTAGTTAGTCTTTTCTTTTGTAAGCTCAGTGAATGCTTTTTACTTTAATACATCTAACAGCTTAGACCAGAAAAGATACCTTTGATCACTTATTTCTTTCTGTATTCTACCTGGTATCCCACTGCTGTTTATAAGTACCTCAACTACCGTAATCTCTTTTCTTGCCCCAATTTATAAATATTAATTATAATAAGAAATGTAGTACACTAAACCCTATTTATCATGATTTCTTTGAAAAGGAAGTGTGGAATTAAGGACAGGTTCTGCAACATTTGAGAGACCAGTTTCTTAAAATGTATGTTAGTTGGAGTTATAAAAACTGTCAAAGTTCAGCTTTAGGTTTGTCTGGCATGATTTCACTTTGTTATTAGCACACACAGCTTGCATCCCTCTTCTTAGTGCTACTTCAGGGGTGGCCAACCCATAGCATGGGCAGCCTTCATGTGATCGGTGGCAGATGAGGGAGGGGACAGGCAAGCACAGTAGCAGATAAGGTAGGAAGCAGAAGGCAAGATGGAGCACAGGGCAGGAAACAGAAAGCAGAGCAGGAGATTGGGCAGAGAGCACAGTGTAGGGGACAGAAAGGAAAACAGCAAATCTGTCAGAAGAAAGGATTAGAATGGCACATGGGGAAGGTGTAGGGCTAATTCGTGGCTTGCCTGTCAGAAAGGTTGCCCCCACAACGTGCTACTCTCTGCTTCAACAAAACAGAAAGAGCAGAGCCCAGCAGAACCTGGGAAATGGAATACAGAGAAGAAATGCCACTTTTTGGCAGCATGCAATCTTCAACAGGCAGTCCCTGCTTCTGCGTGCGGTAGCTGTAGCAAAGGACAACAAGCTGCCCTTTACTTCCTTTGGCCAGTGGATCTATGCCTGGGATGTTGATAATAAAGCATCAGTCATTTGCGCTCTGTGCTTGCTCTTTCAGGAAGTGTCTTCATGCCCTGATTGTCTAATAGCAGCACAACTCCTGTAGGAGTTGTTTGGTCTAATCCTTCCATGGGATTGAGCATTGCCCTCCTCCCCAGTAATTTAATGGTGTGAAGTTGCATCTCCCTTTCTCCTACCACCTTATATAATCATCTCAAACTCCCTCATCAGGATACTACCACAAAAGCTTCAGTTTGGTCCACAAAAATTATAATTTTTCATTTATTTAATTTCTGAAGTTGAACCAACTTAATCTATTTTAAAGAGTGGTCAGTTCCTCAGAGTTGACATAAAATGATTCTCAAAGAACTTGTAAAAATAACTGCTTTAGCTTCACCACTTCCACATAGTGAATGGCAGGAATATAGTTTCATTTCCCCCCTGCTTGCTGCTGTACAAGATCAGTTCTAATTCACATAAATAAATTATTTGCAGGTCCCCCGATTTTTATTATATGGCTTATCTCTGTCACTACAAATTGCCAAAAAGACTATGTAACAGCACAGCATTTTCTATGATTGGACACACTCTCTTTACGTAAGTGTTCACTTAATATTTACTTCACTGATCAATCCCAAACACCTTACCTCCTTGCAAAGATTTCCAATATCAGCTCCAGAGAAAAGTTTAGTCTGGACTGCCAAGTCTTCTAATGACACATCTGAAGCCAGTGGAGTTTTTTCAGTGCAGATTTTGAAAACAGAAAGCCTTCCCTATGAGACAATGTATGTTACACAAGGAGAAAAAAACCCAGTTATTCAGGCACCTATTTATTTCATTAATAGCACTTGTTATGGGCTATTTTCTGCCACCTAACTCATGCCAGTTAGTCTTATTCTGCAAGTTGTCCTGTTCATTTCAATCAAACTATTCAGGGAACATTGAGTGAACCTGACAGAATTTGACTACTGATCTTCTGAGCTCAAGTACACTAAAATACAGTAAAAGGAAATAAAGTACACATCTTGTTTCTGAAAAACCATGTCAAGAAACATCCTCGTAGTAAATTCCCATTACTCCTCTGGAGCTTGGTTGCGTGTGGCCAAATGGCTGAGGGCAAGCAAAACTCGGGGGCATCCAAACCCCAAGCCTCCGGGCTTGGGCTTGCACATAGAATGCCCGCCAAAGGATTTGGAAACATCTGAAATAACATACAGAAATAAGCCCCAGATGGGGATGGAACATGTTTGCCACAGTAGGGCCACTTATGGTTCTGGACTGACTTACAGATTTGGAATCTGATTTGGCAAACTTGGCTTGGAACACAGAAAATTTAACATAAAAAATAGAAGTTCCCATTAGCATGCTTGCTCAATGTGGGCCATGTGTTTTAGTCATGCTTAGTGTTGGCTGTATTTAATCAATTTCATAGTTGGTTTCCATGGCTGAACACATGCTGCTTTTATCAGTAATTTAATGACAGACAATGTATTTAGTGAGATTTTGTTGTATGCGATTATCAGAAAGGGCTCCCCCCCATGCCAACTGGGGGGAAAACACCTCATCTTGTTTTCAAGTAAATAAAGTACATTTTGTATTTGGGCTGCTGTGATCCTACTGGTCTGGAGGACAGTAAGTGTTGCAGCTTTCAACAAGAGACTCTCTCTCCACTAACATTTACAATTCACACAGCCCTTCTTAATAATAATAATAAAAATCACTAGGCTGCCATTTGTTGTTTTCGTTCGTACCTTGAATTCTCATCCTCAAATGGGTACAATAATTTCAACAGGATGCAAAAACAAAGGAAAACCTAAACATCGTACTACACATGCTATTGAGGAGCAGGAAAGAATGGCTGATAGAATGGGCTGTGATGCTTATGGTAAAGGTTCCATATGTTAAATCCCTTTTGTCGTTTTTTGTCATTTATTAAACCAAAAGCCTTTTTGGCTGAAATTTTCCATTTTTGTTTTCTGTCACAGGTGGGTTACTTTTTAGAGTGTTCAGTAGAGATAACCATTTCTGAGAAAAGGGATAGTGAAAAAATTTGACCTGGGCACGGGCAACCTTAATTCTGGCACTTCCTATCTTGCACATTTGATTGTACAGGAATATTATATGTAATATATATAATGAAGTATTGCCTACAAAAGCACGTTAAAATATGTTACACACAATCAGACGTGCTTTTATATGCAATTCCAATGTTATAGTCAAATATACATTATTTAGCTTCTAGCACATCAAATATTAATTTCTAGTTAAAAAAATCTTGCAGTTGTTAAGACATATTATAGTACTATAATTTTTCCTGTTTGGATGCAGCATGCTGACAACTGCACCTCTATATTTATTTTTTGTGGAGGTTTATAAACACACACATTACCTTCTGATCTGGCGGTGGAATATAGATCATTTTGTCTAACCTTCCAGGGCGCAACAAGGCATCATCCAACATGTCTGGTCTATTTGTTGCAGCAACTACCATAACATCTTTGTTCAAAACTTCTTGAAACTCTAGCTGCATGAGATCAAGAGTGCAAATGTGTTGAATGTGTACTGGGGGGGTTCTGCTTTATGCTAGGAAGACAAACATAATTTACAAGGGAATAAAAAGCAATAAGGAATAAATCACAGGCTGTGGAATGGGGTGGGCCACCTGGGCCATGGCTTGACCAACTTTTAGCATGCTAATTTATAAAACCCACAAACGTGCAATTGTCATTCCAGTTAAAACTGTATAGCTATTTTTTTTTAAACTGCATAGCTAGCTAAATTAATGTGCTAAAAGCTGGTAGAGCCATGGCCTGGCCCAACCCCGTTCTGCAGCCTATGGAATAAATACATATACCTATATCCGTGTTTACTGTAACCACTTAACTTTTCTTTACCTGTGCAGACTAATACGGAAATAAATACAAGGAAGAAAAATAATCAATATCCGTTCTGCTAACGGATGAAACTTTGGACAGAGCCAACAAGAGCATACATCAGTCAATGTGTGAAATAAGACTCCTGTTTCATACATTTTTAAGGGTTTATATAACCTTGGAATTTTCAAAATGGCAACAAGGTTTAAAAAGAAAGCATAATATGATTAATCTACAGTGACATAAATCTGACACCAGATAATGAGAGAGAGATAGTTGCTAGTCATTTACAGAATTCCTTAACTGTAACCAGGAATCTAGTTTTAAACAGAATTAAGATCAAATGCAGTGTATAGAAATCATTTGGGTTAGAGGGCTTCAGGATAAAACAACTGTAAACTAAGTAACAAAAGCTAAAATGCTCAAAATGTATATTTTAGACAGGATTCATACTGAACAAAAGTAGCAAACGAGATCAGCAAATGAAACAGAAGAAAGCTAAACAGGTAACAAGAGGTTATTAAATATTAACTTGCTGATAAAAGAACTGTCACAGTATTTGAACATATGAAGGGTCAAAGGAATTAAAAACAAGTCAGTCAGACAGAAATAAAGGAATCAATGATGATGAAGTAAGAGCAAGGGTAAAATAATGGCGGTGACAGACATGAACTCTTCACTATGTCAGGAATAGGACTGAGTGCATTACTCCACCTTACTGAAACCCATTTTAATGGCATAGTGCAGGTATGTACCATACAGAAATAGCATCCTCTGTCTCTCTTTTAAAGTGGCTTTAAGCCTGTCTGAAATTTTTTAAGTGGCACATCACCACATGATTACAGAAAAAGTAACTTTAATAAGGAAGATGACAAGGACATCTTATCAAAAGCTGTCTCAAAAATGCACTTGCAGCTTTCTAAAGAAATGAATACTGCTAATAACTATTGATTGTGATTTTAAGACTGCATTGGATAACTCTGTGATCGAGTAGCATAAACAAGGGAAATAAACTAGGAGGGAAAACACTAAGCAGCGTAAAAGGCATGTTTAACTTAAAAAAAAAAAAATCAGTAGCCTGAGGAAGAAATAGCCTTTATGACAGCTAATAAATATTTATAATTAGCAATAGTAAGAGGTTATAATTTTGTCTTTAATATTCTGTTCAATCAAAATGAGTTTACATTAAAAAAGTCACTTAATTAGTAATGGATTAGTGTTTTAGCAAAGGTAGACCATATATAAGGCTGAAGATAACTACAACATTAAAAACCAATAAGTATCCTTCCTTGCATTACAGAGAATGTACATACCTCTTGCTCTTTTTCATTTTGCTCTTGACATTCACCCTCGAGCTGTTTATAACTTCCTCTGCTCTCTGTGACTTTCAGGCCAACACCATCTAATTCATTGAGAAGGACAGAAAGAACCCTCTCTGGGACACCATGTCCAGATTTGCAGAGTGACCGGGATCTTAAGATAGAATCAATCTCATCCAGGAATACTATTGCTGGAGCATTTGCTCTTGCTTGGCGAAAAACCTTTTATTGGATTCATAAAATAAAATTAATGTATGTACTGTATACAGTTCTATCATGTCAACTAAAAATTCTTTTGACATCTGTCTATATTTTTACATAACCAATTCACTTTATTGAGTACTCAAGGTATTGTAAAGGTCTCTTTGGAGACCACTCTTATTTACAATTACTAAAGACAAAATCTCATTCCTTATTGAATTCTAACTTTAAACTAGAGTTAGGAGAATGAATAGGTTAATTGTTAATTTGGGGCCAGATCCTCAGCTGGGGTAAACAGAAGCAGCTTCCTCAACGTCAAGGGAGGTAGGTCAATCCAGCCCTTAATGGTCTTTAAAATGAAAAGTCAGGCATAATTAATGCTTTATAAAAAATTGTAGCTAAGCAACTATGTATCATGTGCAAGTCAGAACCTACCTGGGCCAAAATCTTCTCTGAGTCTCCAACGTAAGGTGAAAAAAGGTCAGCAGCACTCACAGAAAGAAAGGAACAATGGCAGCTTGTGGCCGCAGCCTTTACCAGTGTCGTTTTGCCACATCCTGATGGCCCATAAAGGAGGATACCCTTTGGATGAGACAGTCCCATCCTAACAAAAGCCTGAGGGAACTTCATAGGCCACTCTATACTCTGCAAATATATAAAAAAAGATGAAACATTCTAAGTTTTATATGTAGTGATGCAACACAAACAACATTTTGCCCATAGCATTATTTTCTCTCTTTGCAGCATTACTGAAGCAAAAGTCTCCAGTCAAATTCAAAGGCCCACTTGAGCACAACAGTCTACCAGGTAAGTGCAGTTGTAAAATACTGGTTGCTACAGGCAACATGAGGGAGTGAGTAGCAAGCATCACACCTGGCCACTTTGAGTCTCCAGATGAAGGACTAGAAACATTATTAATTTACAAATGGGTCTGAACAAGTCCAGAGCACCTCAACCCCACAACTCTGGAGCCATAGCAAGACACTGACAAATCTGACCTTTTTGTTACAAAAGAGATGCCGTAACAGGCAGTATGTTCTCAGGACATGTTGGCTCTGGAATTGTCTCTGTCTCTCCCCCTCCCACATGGCATAGACTTACAGATGTTGTAAAAGGGATCTTTAACAGAGGGCTGAAGATTTTTCACTAGAATGGAAGAATATAGTCTACAGCAGAATTTGATATTTATTAGCTAAAATACTAATTCTAGGTTATACTTTTGGGTGATGTTCTGAAATTGCAAATTTAACTGGGGGGAGTCTAGAGCTTGTGCTTAGGCATTTTTTGTTTTATTTTACGAAAAGTGTAGCAGTAATTAGCAATCAGTGCCATTTAAAATAAAAATTGTTTTTCATGGAAATGGTATTAGTCTATCTTTCAATACCTCTATTTATACAACAGGTTGGAAGACACGGATGCATAAAATGATCTTTTTTTCTTGTTTAAATGTGCTCTACATTTTACCTGTTTTAACTTCAATTTCACATCCTCAAGACCGCCAATTTGTTCCCAGGTAACAGGTCTGAAGTCTGTTAGTCCAATACCACTTCGAAAGGAGGATGGTCGAATCTTTCGGAAAGCTTTACAGAAATCTGCTGTATTAATCAAAATCTGATCCAAATCCTGAAGAAATGCACGCAGAAGAAATAAAAAAAAGTGAAGCACTATTTGTGCCTTTATATCAGTAATAACTTAAAGCTCAAAACATGTAATAGGTGAAAGAAAACTCTTGCCTTATGAGTGTACAATATACCATACATAAATACAGACATGCACCATAAGTAGCTCACATTTGCTGCGATGGGATAGGCTTTTTTTATAGCACAGGGCTGGACCGTTTTAAGGAAATTAATATTTGAGAGGGACATACTTTGATTTTCTCCTCAATATAGTTCTGCTATGTAGTACCCAAGTAAGGCAAAATTACTGATAGTTTTAGTCTACAAAAATACCTAGATTCTCCAGGATACAAGTAAAATCTCTCTACTTACTTATGTATTTACTGAATTTACTTTAGCTATGTACCAAACATAGCTGACTGCAAGGCTCACCTCAAACATCCTATAATTTAGCCACAATCCAAAAAACCTAAAACAGACACACACCTATTTAGTTCTTATCTGCAATTTACGTAACATTTAATCACAGCTCAGGTACCGTTCATAGCTCTGCTTAGCCTCATCCAAAATAAGTGAACTTTGTCATCCTGATTCATCAGCAGTAGTTCCCCAGACAACACTGGAAGCTTCAGGGGAGACCAGTCTCAGACAGCTTATAGTGATATAATCTAAAAATACCCAAGTTCTATCTATACTACTAATCAGTGATGACTTAAATTTATGAAGGTAGTTAGCAGAAATGCATCACAAAGAAAAGCAATCCTGTATATATCAGTCATAAATGCTAAAAACCCCCCTGAAGTCTAGGAGCTGTTGGATCCTTTCTTTATCTGGGTGTGCTATTCATTTCCCTGTTTGCTGAAGACTGCAGAAACTACTAGCAAGTTGTACTTTGCAGAGGCAGCTCTGGTTTATTTTTTGTCCATCTTTTAGCAAAATTATTGTTGCTCATGTGGCTCCTGGGCCACATTTATTTTAACTGTTTATTTCATTTTATACAACATCCCTGCTTCTCACAATGCAAGCTGCACTTCCCATTGTTGTTACAGTGTTCTGGATGCAAGTCTCAGGGAAGCATATCTTGACTTCTCTTCTGTCACTACGTTCCAACTTCACAGACAAGGAGGCAATGCAAACCTGCCTTCTCCTAGCAGTCAGGACAGATAAGAAAGTTTATGCTTCCCTGAGACCCAACTCTAAAACATCCCAGAAATCATATTACTGAACCATGGGCAATTGTAGCTATATGGTTCTGGCCTGTACATGCATATTATGTCCACCACACAATATAAACCATGGCGCACAGCTTATTAAAAGCAAAATATTATATAACTTGTTTGTAGCTTATAAAAGAGAACTGTGGTGGAAAAGATTACTAGCATTTATTTTTTGTCAACCAAAAACTTAATCTCTGCTTTGCAGTGTTAATTAAATTATGGAGAGAATAAACACATTTCACAACACCTTTTCACTCAGGAAGGACATACCAGTCCTTTACTGAAAGACTGTGGCAAAGCTGTATATTCACATCTGTAAGATATTTTCCAGTTTATTTTGAATAGAGATGCACCAATACATTGGTCTGATATTGGATGGTCTGGGAGTGACGCTCTTACAGTGGCTCCTGCCACTGCTCGTTTGGGAGGACGACGCGGGTGGGGTGGGGGGGAGGGAGATGGGACGGTGATGGATGGAAGTG